AGGCGACAAGCAGCTTCATATTTGGATGACTGGCTCGAAGGCGGGGTGCAAGAGGATGTTCGTATGATGCATACTCAAGCACATCAGTCCGACGCGGAAGACACACTGGAGAGCAATCCAGCTCATGACGCTTCCGAGTCTGCTTCGCGTGGCGTCGTTCTCGGAAAGCGCTCGGCATCAACGCCTTTACATCCAGACGATCGAAGCTATGCCGGGGGCTTGTCGTCTTCCGTACAACCTGAGCTTGACGATGTTGTCGCTGCAGATGCGGATCCGTCCCTAGTGGCCATGTGGCAGGTTATACCCGACCTCCAGCAAGATGCTATGCAGGACATCAAGACTCAGATCATCGTTCCAACAGTCGTCGAATACTTGGATATCGTCAAGCGACGCAGACTGGGCACCCTTGCGACTGCGCATGATACAAATACCGATTACGGACCACAGCAGTCCCAACCAGCCGTCGTTGCCCAGACACTCGCAAAGCACAGCGCCTCATCTTCGTCACCCTCGAGCTTTCGTATCGAAAGATTTCTGATGGGCATCAGAAACGGTACCCTGACTGAAGAGAAGGTGCCGAGCAATTTCTCGATCAAGACCCAGGTGGACAACGGGGACACCGCCATCCACGCCTCTGTGCGTACCGACGCCTATGTGACCATCTTCAAGGCCCTCAACGCCCTGAATTCACTTGACCGTGACATGAACAAGGCGGAACACAGCAAGGCAAATGGTATAAAAGGCAGATGGACGTGCTTGTTCAAGAAAGCGTTGAACGAGATATGCAAGTGGCCGGCTGAAGGCGACGCGGGACAGTACGCGTGCGACTACTGTATGAGACGTCGCCGCCCTTGCATCATTGCAATCAAGGGCGTCTTCTCAGTTGCCCCATTAGCTCCCAGTCTGAGGGTGGGTCGAGGACTGGGTGACAGGGATTACTGCGTGTTGCCTGGAGGGGCTGTCGTAAAGCGAAACTTCTTCTCGTAGAGCTTCCCGCGTCAAAGAGAACCTGTGGGGTATGGATAGTCTGTTGAGGAGACATGAGCCGGACATCGTGCAGCAGTTGTATATGTTATCTGCGTACCAAGTATCTGGGTAAGGATAGTTCAGCAGTATTCAAAATACAGTATTAGATACTAGTGCGGGTCGAACGTCCTTGTCAAGGCATACCGTTATCGGTCTGAGTGCATAGTGATGTGTAGTGATTGCCAAGGATTCCGATCCGAGAGTAGCTTGTCAAGAAAGTAGATTCGGTCGACCTTGGGATGATGGATGCACGGCGAGGTGCAAGGGCCGACGGACGAACACATGTGGAAGATCGAGCAGCGGGAGGTTCGCGCTAGCACTAGTCTGTACTAAAGCGAGCCCCGCTCCTGAACCAACTGGATGGGACCGAGGCACAGCTGCGCGCCTGTGAAACCACGCCGTCAAGACGCCCTGCACCTCCGCCTTGGACCTTATAGCCCGCCATTGGCGTTTCCCTAGCTCTTGAACCAACCTCCACGCCCCAGGCCTATCCAAGAATTTCTTCATTGAACCTCCGGGACGCCCATCGCAGCTCAAAATGGCGGAAATAGCACCTTTCGAGCACACGCCCATGGACGACATTGCGCCCACATGCGCCAAAGTCCGCGCCAGCTTCCTCTCGCACAAGACCAAGCCGCTCGAGTACCGCATCCAGCAGCTGCGCAAGCTCTACTGGGGCTTCAAGGACAATGAGGAGCTCATCAAGGAAGCCTGCAAGCGCGACCTGGGCAAGCCGTCGTTCGAGACATACCTGACGGAGATCTCGTGGTGCATGAACGACTGCATCTGGATGGCCAACAACGTCCCGCGCTTTGCCAAGGACGAGAAGGCGACAGATATCCCCTGGACCAACATGCCGCTTCGCCCGCGCATCAAGAAGGACCCATTGGGCACTGCGCTGATCATTGGGTATGTCGCGTGTGCATGTTGAGAGATACTAGCTGACGAGACCAGAGCCTACAACTTCCCCATCCAACTCACCCTCGGTCCCCTCATCGGTGCCATCGCTGCAGGATGCACTGCCGTCGTCAAGCCCTCCGAATCCGCCCCCAATGCCGCCGTCGCCATCGAGAAGATCATGCGCGACTCCCTTGACCCCGAATGCTACACGTGCATCCAGGGTGCCATCCCCGAGACAACCGCCTTGCTTGACCAGAAGTGGGACAAGATCTTCTACACTGGTGGAGAGATGGTCGCCAAGATCATCGCGAAGAAGGCAGCCGAGACCCTCACACCCTTGACACTGGAGCTGGGAGGCAGGAACCCCGCCATTGTCACAAAGCATGCAGACATGAAGCTTGCTGCAAGGAGACTATTATGGGCAAAGACACTCAACGCTGGTCAGGTCTGTCTCAGTCACAACTGCACTTTCATCGATCGTGAGATGGTACCCGCATTCATCGAAGAGATGAAGAAGCAGCTCAAGGAGTTCTACCCAGAGGGAGCCCAAAAGTCACCCGACTACGGTCGAATAGTCAACGAGCGCCAGTTCCAGCGCATGAAGAAGATGATAGACGACAGCAACGGCAAGATTGTCCTCGGCGGCACAATGGACGAATCCGACCTCTTCATCGAACCCACCGTCGTCCAGATCAGCGACATGAACGACAGCATGGTCACCAGCGAGTCTTTCGGCCCCCTCCTCCCCATCCTCCCCGTCGCCAACCTCGACGAAGCCATCAAGATCGCAAACGAGCTACACGACACACCACTCGGCACCTACGCCTTTGGTAACAAAGCCGAGCTCGAACAGATCATGAAACAAACACGCAGTGGCGGTGCCTCCCTCAACGACGGCTTCTTCCACGGCTCTATTCCCACCATGCCCTTTGGCGGTGTCGGAACAAGTGGCCAGGGCGCATACAGGGGCAAAGCCAGTTTCGACACTTTCACACACCGCAGGAGTGTTACCACAACACCAGCGTGGATCGAGGGTCTCATGGACGTCAGATACCCACCATACACAGCTGCCAAGCAGAAGAAGTTCATCGGCATGAATGACATCAAGCCCAACTTCGATCGCGAGGGCAGGGCTTTTGGATGGGGTTCATGGTTTATGGGATTGCTGGGCGTCAAGAGTTTGGCGGCCATTGTTGGTAAGTGACGTATGAGTGTGGTGGCAAGCGTGTTCGTCAAGCTAACAAGTACAGCGGCGGTTGCTATCAAGCTATATCTGCAGCGGAGGTCGAAGTTGTAGGGGATGGGTAATGGCAGGGGGATGGAAGTTGGTGTGTGACTTCTGGCAGTATACCTTTGCGATATCCATGAACTTTTCTCTGTCTCCGGTCGACATATCGTGACTCGAAACCTGCAAGAATGTCCCATGTAACATCGTTTTCGCATCCTCGTCAAACCGGCGAGGCTCAGTCTCACTTCCAGAATTGTCTCTCAGTGTCTAGAAACCACTGAACACCATCTAAGACATTTCTCTCCGCATTGTCTCCAGATCACTAGACCTTCCCAGACACCACCAGTCTAACCAGCAAACCATGAGTCTCACTTCCATCAACAAACTTATCAAGCTGAACATCATATATCACGCAAGTGTACACACTTTGCTGACCAGAGCAGCAAGAACAGCAGCAGTCACGCAACATCCACACACGCAACACCCACCATGACACCCTTTTTTCTCAACACCAAATCCGCCCACTCCACACGCCGCTCCCTCTCCACCCACGAAAACATCTCCACCACGACTTCCTATACAACAAAACCATACCTCACACGCCTCACCGAGCCCTCACGTTACACGACCTACGCATCCGAGACCCGGAGCGAGCGCCTCCCTGCTTGGTTCACAGCCCGTCCCACGCATGGCGGCCATGCATACGCTCCTAGTCACGCTGCAGAAGTGGCGCACAGGAGTCTTGCTTATGAAATCGAGCGTACGAAGACGTATGGGTATGGGTATAGTGGGTATCAGCCGGCTTCGTACGCGGACTTGGGTGTCCAGGGGGTTAGGTTGAGGGAGAGGGAGGCGGAGTATGCGGCGTTGTTGAGGGAGAAGAGGAGGGAGAAGGAGAGGGAGAAAGAGAGGGAGGAGAAGGTACGTGTACAACGTAGAGGAGATGAATTACTGTATGTGCGAGATAAAGGGAGGGTGGGTGAGAGTGGGGGGTGGAGGAGGACGGAGAGGGAGGTTGAGTGGGTTAGGGGGCGGTGGGCGTGAATCTGAATTCGCGGTTGAAATCTCTTAGTTATCTGATATGCGTGCTAAGTAAATGATCTGACTGCTCATCGAAGTACATTTAGCCTCATTAGCATCAAGTGTTAAGATGTTTTTGAGGATCTTTACCACGTGGTAGCCGTGTTGGTGGAGGTTGGTTGCCTAAACAAATGCACGTCAGCTCATGCATTCCTGCAGGATTCAGCACACGATGTACCGCCGAGGTGGCGTAAATGGAGGAAAGGATATCGCCCTGTGGTTCCTGCGATGATCTTTCACGGGTAAAAGGCGCAGGGGTGGGGTAGTTGGATAAGGCTGATGTTGTCTTGAGTTGTGTGAATAGATTTATGCAGGTATGAAGACTCTATTGCGATATCTATAATGTACAAGTCACCCAAAGCGGCTGAGTTACGAAGTAAAAGAGGAAGATGGTATATAGCTAGGCACAACAATGTAACTGCAGAAGTATTCGTACATGAAGCGTAAATGACATGACATGACAAACCGAGACGTAAACGTAATCATAGAAGATGCAGTCTATACCGCAGAAAGCGAGCCATGCAGCGTGAACGCGTGAGAAAAACCTAGGTAAACAGGGGTATCCGCCGTAAATAAAAGATGAAATCGTATCCTTCTTGCCCAAACAAGCCGAAATGCTACGCTAAGAGGAAAGTGAAGGAAGAGAAGTAAGAAGAGGGCAATATCGTAATATCACAGAAGCGTATGCAAAGGCAAGAAAAGACCAAGATGCAAAAGTGCAGGTCCAGGACAAAGAGAAAGAAAGGGGAAGAATAAAGCGATCACTTCAAACCCCCCAATCCCCCCACCCCTTCTTCAAAACCGTCTCAATAGACCCCACAACCCCCTCCAAAAGCTCACCCAGCCCCTCACCCGACGCATCCGCCGCAGCACCGCTCTGATCTTCAAGCGAAACACCACGAAGACGAAGCTTAACCCACAGTAGCAGGCTGATACAACCTGTCTGGCGGCGCGCATGGTCTGCAAGATGTTGCTGTGTGGAAGCCGTGGTATCGGACATGGCGAGGGTGTCTGTGAGGAAAGAAATCGTGTTGATGATGATTTGCGCATGGGAGAGGAGTGGGTTTTCGGGTGTGGCGCTGATGATGGGGGAGTGGGGTTGGCTGGTTGAGGTGGATGTGGAAGAGGAGGTTGGTGGTGCTGAGGCCCATGTCGTAGGCGAGAATATCGGTGGTGATTCGGAGTTGCTTGGGCGCCGGTTTTGCTGTCTGGCCTTTTGATGGGCGGCTTTCGTGCGGGTAGTTGCTGCGACGGTGATGGCCCAGAGAACGAGGGCGGCGAAGAAGACGGACATGTCTGTGCCCATTTCTAGAAGGATGCGATCTCTTTGTTCCGAGACGGCTTGTTGGAGGATGTCAATGGAGAGTTTGAGTGCTTCTTTGACGGGCGCGCCTTCCGTCGAGGACGTGGACCATAGCTGTGCGATCCATGTGCGGAGCGTGGTCTTCAGCGCTGCGAAAGCTTGGGCGGTAGCGACTTTCTCGGAGAAGATCCATGACTCGCATGCGACAGCTAGCAAGGCACGGATGGGGGTTACTTGTACTAGCTTTGCTACGGATAGCATGCGCTTGGTGGCAGGTGCGTCGTCGAGCAGATGTTCGAGGCTTGAGGTCGTCGATGTGGACATGTATTGTGTCGAGGTCTTGTGGCGACTGTAGTGCACGGCAAGGATGACAGATGATTGGAAAGTATCGAGAGGCCTTGGTAGGGACGTGGAAGTAACCTCGTCGACGTATGATGGCGTGTAAGGGTACTGCTGGGCAGCTGCAGCCCACTCGATGGGACTGGTCGCATCCCAGAGAGAACCGTGCGCTGGGAAGGGAATGTCGAAGCGGCTGTCGTGGATGAGAGAAGTCAGAGCTTCGCGGGCGAGTAGAATAGGCTGCTGCGACTCAAGAATGTAACAAGACAAAAACAAGTGTTGCCAGGTAGCTAGCTCGACCCAGCTGGTCCAGTGCTCCGGTGTGACCTGCTCGAGTTGAGGAAGGCCCGCTAATAGCTCTGCGGCTTTCGAAGTCGTGCTCCTGCAATCTTCAACCGCCTGGTGTTGTTAGCCGACCGCCGCTGCCTGCAATGACGCTCGACCTACCTTGTGGTATACCTTGTCGAAGCGTGACGACAAGACCTTGGCTGCCCGACGAGCGCGGTACTGAGACAGCACCTCAATGAGAAACATCGCCTGGAAATCACATAACCGGTCCGGCTCCGTCGAACCCTTGAGATCCCTCTGCTACAAGTCAGTTGATGATCGTAAGCCCAAGCATCTAACCTACCCATTCAAGCAATTTCAAGCATCGGTCGTGGAGGTCTCGGCCCTTTTTCTTGTCGCTCGAATCGGCCGAGTACTGGCTGCCGATAGCGATCATGGCCGCGCGCAGCATCGGTGACGGGTTCAGAGAGGTAGGTCGATGGACAATGGGGAAAGTGGGATGAAAGAGCCTCCAGAAATAGTCAAGATATTGCTCAAACGGTTGGGTGTGTGCGATCGAAGCCATACCATATTGTTCTTCTCCAAAGAGCATCACCCCCTCTTCTTCGTCCCTCTGGACCAGTGTTCTAGGACCGAAGTGTCCGTACCCGGTCATCGCATCCATGCTTGTCGGTATCGACATGTTCGTCATGGGAAAGGAGCATGCGTTCATGTAGGCGAGGTTAGGGGCTGTTGATCCCTTGTCGTTCGAACCCCATGGGTATGCCATCGTTGAGGTGGTCGAGGCCGGCGATCGTGATGGGTATCCCCACGATGGGTCCATCATGGATGCGTTCGAGGGCGTGCGCGCTCGATAGGACGGGTTGCCAAACACGGAGAAGTCGGTCGATGCGATCGGCGATGCGTACCCACTCGAGGAGGAGTACCCTGGGGTGGGACTGTATGGCTCGTGCCATAGAGCCGGTGTCATAGCTTCCATTGCTACCGACATCGATCCAGACTGGCGGTTCATATGCGAGCGATGATGTTTTGGTTGGCTAAAAGAGCATTAGCCGCCATTCAAGCACAAGATGAGAGACGAAATGAGAGAAGAAAATAAGTGCTCGATGATGTATAATGAAACTCACTTGGGGCTGGACGTGATTTGAGGAGAAGAACGAGGAATGAGACTGGGATTTAACGAAAGACGCTGAGGCGTTCTGGGAGTACGAAACGAGGCGTGATTGTACCTTGTAAATGGCGCCGTCTCCTGCACGGGAGATACGGTCTCGTAGAAGGATGTGCTTGCGGAGTTGGTTGTCATTTCCATCATAGGCTGCTCAAGAGCGGGCAAAGACATGGATGTGGGCTCTGGGGAGCCTTCTGGACTTTGCTCAGGAGAGTCTCTCGCAGGCTCGTTGCTGTGGGAAGTCAGTATGGCTGTTGAGACCATTCTAGATTCCGCGTACTGTCGCTCCTGATGTCTTTGGAGAAGATCAACACGGACGAAGGTCTTGCCGCATCCAGGGACTTGGCAGATAAGCGCATCTTCTTGGGCGTGGTTTTTCTGGTGCCGCCTGTATACACTGTTAGTGGTATTTCGGCTTTTCGTGGAAGCCGTCTGACCTTAGATGCTCCGCGCGGGTGTAAGACTGATGGTACGTCAGCAAGGTGTCCCGCAAAAGTGGTTGAGATGCATAGCGTTACGTAGATAAGTCTACGTGTGATGAGACGCAATAACACAGTGGCAGATCATGCACAGCTAGCCACGTGCATCGAGGGCTGAGAGAGGTATAGAATTGAAATGACTTACTCTTCCACAGTTCTCGCAGTTATGAACTTTAAGGCCCTTCTTTGCTTTGCTGATACGCCCAGTCCGGGTGTAATGGATGTTGTTGTGAGATGACATGTTGGTAGGGCTCAAGCCTGGCTGTTCTTCAGAGCGGGAGGAACCGGTGTGGGGGCCGGACGGCGCTTGTTTGGTGGTTCCAGAGCGACGGCGAGGGCTGGCAGCCTTGGATGCTTTGGGTAGATCGTTAGATGACTGTGATGTCTTGCGGTAGTCGACACGAGGTGGTGATGGCTGATGAATGGTGTTGCCTGTAGGTTGCTGGTGCTGGTGTGCGTTCAAGTCTAATGGGAGGCCTCCGGTTCCACTTGGTTCGGACATGACTGAGGGACGAGGCGATGGATGGTATATATCCAAGTTGGAGAACAACGGGGGTCAGAGGCTCAAGTGGGGATGTGGATAATGTGTGCTAAACGTTCCAGATTTGGTGGTACGATAGACGGCTATGAGCTAGTGGTCATGTCTTGGACGAGTCGGTGCTTTCCCACGGGATGATGATAGGCAGCCGGGGGACGGAAGTTTGAATTAAGGAACAGCCGCCAGGGGAGAAGAGTTAACGTGGTGTGTAGTAGACCTAATTGGGAAAGAAAGCCGGACCAAAACAAGGAATTTGCGATGATTGTAGAGTGAATTTGCTGCGCCCGGATAGGTTTGTGGATGGAGAGACTGTAAATATCTGTGGGCTGTGCCTGAGCCAACCCCGAACGAGGAGGGTACTCGAGTATGGGGGTTGGAAAATGACGAGGGTCATAGACGCTGCAAGCCGACATGTCCAGGGTGTAGACATGGAGCTTTCCAGGGTGTCCACCATAGGCAGTGCATTGGCCGATCTTACAGCAAGTCGATGGCTTGAGCCCACGGGCATGGCTGCGGGCGTGCAGGCGAACGGTTCCGTCAGTCACACTGAGCAACAGGGCGTCCGCGCACCAAAATTGGGACATGGCCGGGATGCGAGTGGACAGCCAGAGGGCACCGCTAGGCCAGGCTGCGGACCGTTCCCGCCTCAAACTTCACGCTGGCTGCTAAGAGGAGCATGGCTTGGGAGAGCCATGAGGGACCCGAAATAGAGACTCGCGTGGAGCATGACCGTGCTCAGCCCTCCTGCAACGGCGCCCATGCTGCTGCTTACACCACGGTGCAGCACCGCACCATGCTGTCATCACAACGACATACGATGTGCCTTGCAGAGAAGCTTGTCGAAGGATGCTGAACAATCGCGGCGTTACAGGCGTCGGGTTTGCGATGCTCGCCCCTGCAGAGCAAGATATGTCCGACAGTTTCGCGGTGCCCTGCGCCCTCATTGGTGGACATGGCATTGTTAGGTGCACTGAGCGGCAGATGTGTAGTCTCGCCTGTCAAAGCCCACCAGCCCTACCAGGGATCCATGCGCCAGACACCTTACAGCACGCAGGACAACTGCAATGTATCTCGTCGCCGAATAACAAGTCGGCGATGGGAAAGACGGCGAGAGCTGTAACACACTCTTCGTGGCCGACCGCCTCGCACCCACCGGCTTGCTGTGTTCATTCGTCCAGGTGCAAATGTCCAAGGCGTAAGCACGGTAAGCAGTCCCTCCGCGAGGACATGAAGCGGCTTCAGATGGTCCCGCAGTCCCTGACCCTCACCCAATCTCCACACGGCAGCCCGCTATGGGCGTAGGGCTACTCGTGAGGCGGGGGGCCTGATGGTTTAGTGCGTCCGCTCGCGCAAAGCTTGGGAACACGTCGACCAAGCTTCCTCAGCCTTCAAGGCACAAGGCAAATGAAAAGGCGCCGGACGACGGCATCCACTTTTGCATTGATTTGCACTGGCTCGCACAGGCATGGGGACCGCTGGGGATTTGATGAGCATCGACGCGCTTTGCTCGGCACACAGGACGACTGCATCACGCACGTCACAGCCTTCACCGGTTTTCAGGGCTCAAGCTCCTGCATTTGCACATCTGAGAATTGCAGCGTAGAACCCCATGCAGACAGCCCCAGCCGGCGGAGCCGCCTTCAGATTGACGATGGCGGTCGCCTTGCACATGGGATAACCAGCTTCTTGCGCGTTTGGGCGCTGGCGAGCCTGATTGTCGGGCCAGGACCGCTGTCTGTTTCATGAGGACTCAGCTCCTCCGCAACCGAGACGATGGTTAGAGGCAGGGATCCTAGTAAGCTGGACCAGGGCAGACGAATCGTGACCCGTGGAGTAGGGTGAGGTGACCAGAGCTGTTAGTTCGTAGCCGGCGCGTATTTCAGGTGCAGTCGACGTGCTCTCACGGCCCATAGACTATGCAATGCTCCATCGGCGGCTCTCGCGACTCCATGAACTACAACCTTGTCTGTTAGTTCGAGCTGTACCATGGCATTTGCTGTTTTGGTTCAAGCGTTGGGCGCGCGGGTCGGGTCTGGCACCACGATCTTTTCGCGAGGCTGCCAGCCGGCAGAGATCGCCTAATAACACCACTTCAGCTTAGCATGGTGGGAAATGAACCGCAACGTCCCGCATGCTATACCTTCGTCCCTTGAGCATGTAAAGCGATGTGAAACTGAAGCGGTGAGAGCTTTACCGAATGTGTGAGGATAATGACATTATCTGCTCAATGGGGGCGTAAGACGCATTATAGCCGGTAATCTTGATGAATAGGGAGCTCAATCCAGCGGCCTCCAGGGCCGTTGCTCGCTTCGGCACGTGTCTGCGTTGGATGCCGTCGAGCTCTTGCAGCTTGGGTCGCGTCGACTGATGAGCGCGTCTAGGGTGTAGAGAAAATCAAGCGAGATGACTTGACTTGACTTGCAGCTTGCAGATGTGGCCCCTCTCCGCGGCGCTGGTGTTTGTTGACAGGCGACGGCCTACGAGCTTGATAGTTCAATAGCCGTAGGGCTAGACACTCGATTTCGTCCGACAAAGACCTGTGCGTTGAGACATGACCAATCCAGCGCTCTGTAACGTACGAGCGCGCCAGTGATCACCGTTGGCCCGCCCGGAAAGGTTCAAAGCGCGATGGGCTTAGTGCGGGATGTTGAGAAATGAGAGGCACGTGCTGGGCAGCCGACTTAGCTTCGTCACAACCATGCGTTTGTTCTCCAAGCAGCAAGGTCCAGGGAGGCTGCATCGCGTGGAGCATCGCGGGTGGGTCACAATGAGACATCCATGGATGGAGGCCGAGAGCACTTTGCCGCGACCCGCTGATGGCGCGATTCAGGCGATTGCTCGGGCTGGACTGGTTCTCCCCTTCCTGAGGTTGTGGAAACACCGAAGTCAGCCCGCCGGTACTTACCATCTGGATAGATCTACGGCGAATGGATTACCCTTTCGGAACACATGGAGATGCCGCACTCAGATCAAGATCATCGCATGATAGAGGTGGTGCTGGTGTCGCGCTCGCCGAAATGACGTACCCAGACAACAGCCTCTTAGGGAGACTCGACTGTCGGCGTCCCCGCAAACAGGTCGCCGGGAGGAAGAGGCAGGAATCACACGGCAGGATAATTCGAGTAGGATCACCTCACGCTGCAGATTATGTCCGTCACAACGGGCATGGCTTGATCGAAGGATGCAATCACAGTCGGGCACGTGCGGGACCCACTCCTGTCGCGAAAGCTATCTGATTCGGTTGGGGAGATGATCCTTCGTCGACTACACCCACCCTCTGTCGCTTACCTGGCATGCATCGGTCAATATTGCGGTATGCAACAGACGCATCTGGGCAGCATCCTCTACTCTCTCACATCTACCTATACTACCTCATCGTGCGCCAAACCATCACAGCCTCACCGCCGTGGCAGGGCTGTACCTCTGTCTTCCATCTTGCGCGGGGCAGTTGCACCAGATGCAGGCCCAAACGAGACTAGCGTCGTTGCTTCCCGTGCCTAAAAGTAGCTCCACCCACATGTCTGCCTCCCGGCTAATCCTCCATGAGGCTGAACCGACAAAGTCTGCCTCGCCAAAACTGTCATCACCAGCAGCACATCATCGCGACTTCTTCATTATTCGTCGCAATGACGGCATCGTCTTCGCTAGCAATCAACTTTTGAATCCCGATCGCGGTATGCACCGGCCGGAAGAAGGTTTGCAGGCAGCCATGTGCCATCGCAGCCTGGTCTGCTCCCACACGTGCCTGGCTCCGCCATGCCCAGAATACTGAGCATCCACATGCCCTCCGAGTCTGCTGCCTTCTCTTCGACGTGCCTCTCATGTTGCGACACCGGCACCTACGGGATTGTACATCGCACATCATCGCTTTCTGCCTATTGGACGAATGAACAAGCCTTCAGCAAGTCCCCCACCCCCACCCAACCTGTAAGCGCCGCCCAGCAAGCCACCACTCAACCACTGTCTCCCATCTTTCCATCGTGTTTCTTGCCCGGGAGAAAGAGCCTCAGGCAAACCACATGACTCAGCCCTATGAGAAAATTCGAAACAGAAGGATTGGCTGAGGCGATGCTTCGTGTGCTTGTCAATTTACACATTTCGTTCCTCGCAGCCTCAGCCCACTAACCCTTTTTGGATTCGCGAGCTACTCGAAGCACTCTCTACTGCTATAACTTGCTACATTGCCGCCTTACTACTGCAGCTTACCTCTTGTCGATAAATGAACAGCTACTTGCAAGCGAGTTTCGATAAATCGCCTGCTGTGACAGCCACTCTGGCTACTTGTTAGTACTGGAACCAACACGACTACATGCTCGATAACCAATCCCATGGTTGAGAGCCGGCGCTTAGAAGTACCTCCGGCCGAACTACCGGCCAACAAGACATACTGAAACTTTCAAATGCACTAAAAGCGGTCGCAGATGTGGTCGTTGAAATGCGCAGGTCAACGTAATCCCAATACGACCTTGTAAGAGCGGATACCGCGGGGCAAGACATGATGGTATTGACTGATCATTCGGTTCATCGGCTGCATATACGGCTATACAGAGAACCAGGCCTTCCAGATGTTACATCCCCCGAGATGAAGTCGCTTATGTCTCTGGAAGGCGTTGCGAACCCGTGTTACAGAGTGAGACAACATACCTCACTGCGTAATTGTTATCAAAGGTCGCAGTAACGGCCATCACATGGTGTGAGTATTGAACGACAAGCCCGCTAATGCATCGCAAGCAATACACTTATGCAGCAACGAGGCGATGCAAAGACGTTTCAGAACCAACACCGTACTACCATCTAGTATGGCCGTCGGTTAGAAGAAGACCTGCGAGACCCATCACCCAACTCCGCGCATACTACGGCTCGAGACTCTGCGGCGCAGTCATAGGTGCGGCGAAGTGCGTCAAGACTTCTGATCTGACAGAGTGTAGCTGCGGCGTAGCTATCTGGCCTCAGCCCTCAGGTCCCATCCCGTCATCGCATGTCAGGCACAGGCACACGGGCGTAACTGTGCCTCTACGGGAACGTCCGCGAAAGTCAGACGCTGCGTTCCGAACCTTCTCACGCCGTGCCTCATGCGAACTGGCCGCCGCTGCCGCTCTTTGTGTCTCATTGAGTGTGTGCCGCAGTGGGACCGACGGTTCCTTCCACACAACGCTGGGCGGGAGGGCGAGCTCTACTGTGCCGCAAGGCCGCAGAGATGCGTGACTGGAAGACATCGATCGCGGTCACCCGGACTCATCAGCGACCTCTTTCATGACACATTTCACCGGGCGAAGTGAGAACGGACGGCCCTACTCCGGTATCGAGTAGATGGAGCTTCCTTCTTGCCACGTTGCTTTGGACTTGACGTAAGAGTTGTGGGCTGTTGGAGTGTGGTGGGTTAGTTGGAAGATTTTTTGCTTCACGCGCTCAACTCTTATTTTCTGCGGATCGACAAAACTGACGTAGCTCACGCATAGCCAGTTCCTTGAATCACGGCGATCTGATTGAGAGGATCCAGGTATGTGCGACTGCCCTGCCGGCTCTAGGAAGTAGTCTCGAGCCGGTGCATCCAGTGTTGAAGTTGAGTACATGGAACTCTCGAGCTTCGAGTATCTCTCTTTTAGCGCGTATCCAATGTGTCGCACCTTGATCATGAACAGACTTCACGATACGTTTTCTCATCACTTCGATGAGCCCTTTCCTATCTTTAGGAAGTAACGCTGGCAGGTGTCGTGTCGTTGAACCTTCACACACGAACAGTGCTGCGCTACATAAATTCGGCATGATGAGTCCGTCCTTCTTACCTCGCACAATTGTTCTTCTGTATCGCATCAAATCTGTTTATCTTTCGCTAAGCATTCGTTGTATTTGATCTCACTATACTCACTATACTCACTATACTCACTATACTCACTGTACTCACCACTCCGCGACATGCCCTTAGCAGAAGCCATGCCACTCACAAACTCAATCTTCGCGTTGGTAAGTAGCCAAAGAACCCTGCAGTGAAGCCATACTTGCTAACAGTCTTCAGCTCTTCTTTGCGCTATGCCTCGCGATACAAGCCAGCCCCGTCCCCGCTACCCTTTCCAGTCGATACAAAACCCCATTCTCGGTCCTCCTCCACCGCGAAGGCGATAAAACCGACAAGGATTTCACAGTCCTAGAAAAGGCGATCTTGTATACTGTCATCGCTTTCAGCGCGACGATACTGTGCCTATGGCTTCTCATAGGCGTCATAGTTGCGATCGTGCGGAGGAAGAACGACAAGACATTTTGGGGGAACTTCAAGGATGGGATGCAGTTGAAGAAGGATGTGGGCTATTTGTGAGGGACTATCGCGAATGAGTTGCTACTTGGTGGTATGGTGAGGGATAGGATTGCATGTATTGTTACATAGTGACAAGTGGTCTTATGCACTTATTCCTACGACTAATCTGTCTCCTGGCTTACGTCCTCGTCCATCTCCTCGTTCATTTCCTCGTCCACCTGCTCGTTCACCCGTTCGTTCACCCACTGGTTCACTTCTTCGTCCACCACGTACACCTCTTCGTGCACCTCTTCGTCCTTGTCTTCGTCCATGTCTTCGTCCATCTCCTCGTCCAACTCTTCGTCCATCTCCTCGTCGTAAATGATAGGCTTGCTACGTCGCAGTGAACATATTTCTTGACGGCAAACAGGGCACTTATTTGCGTACGCATCAATGCCATTGATCAACATCGTCAAGCATTCATAGTGATATATGTGGCCTCCACTGCAATTTGCACGCATAGGCATTTGCAGACATGGCCCTTCGACTACAACAAGCGCGTCGCCACATATCGTGCAAGCAGCGTCTGGCTCAATCTCACTTGCTACACGTACCGGTGAAGAGCAGATACGCGCACTTCGTCGCGGACTATCCGGCTCCCTAGCCACATCCTCCATAGACCAAGACACATACTCCTCCTCCTCGAGCGGCGGGATAGTCAGGTCACCATAGGAGAAACGGTCCCCGCCCTGGTCTTCCCACCCGGAAGGAAGGAAATTAGCAAGCGGCGTCGGATTCGCAGCGAAGAAAGCTTGCCATCGGAATGGACTGCGCATCACTTCGGTCACTACGTTTGCAATATCGAAGTAGCGGAACTGGTTATGGACATCAAGCCTGAAGGCATCCTTCACGCAATGCGCCATCCAGTGATGGAGACGCCAGGCTAATACCTGTCGTACAGGAGTTGTCTTCGCAATGGCAAATGCTTGGTGCAACAGTGCGCGTGCCAACACCATTACATCAAGGCGCGCCAAATCGCCCCTCTCGGCCAGTGGAACCATGCTGAAAGGCTCTGATACGATAGAACGAGTGTACATGATTGAATCCATGGAAAATTCGTGGGCAGTTTCCTGCGTAACCGTGAAGTCACACTTTTGCAGGAAAGCAGCGGCACGCACTGAGAGTTCCGAGAGCACAGCTAGCGAATTCTTTATCTTGTCCGGGTTTACAGTGTCAATCTGTTTGCGTATCGCTTCGATAAAATGTGTCTCCCCATCTCGGTGTATGGCTATCTCTATTTCCTTTTCTTTTTCCTTGGTCTGCACTGCACATCGTGGCTGCAGTTTTATGATGTATTTCAATAGCTCTTTGAAGCCTCCGTGTCGAATGAGAGTTCTCAGCGTAAAACCTGTCTGCTCGCCAACGTGATAACAGTAGCTCTTAGAGGTTGTCACTAGCGTTAGACGGTCATGTTCCGGTAGGTTGCGGATGAGTTCGGTGGCGACGTCGTAGTGGGAGGGGAATGCTTCAAGAGTGTTGGTATCAGGATGTTGCATATGAAGCCAGCTACGGAGGTCGTGCCATTCTTCGGGGAGGCCAGTGGCGTCGAGGAGCGTCACAAAGGCATCATCAGTGCGGCATTGTAAGGCGTAGTCAAGGAACAATTGGTAGGCCTGCAGGACTCTGTAACCTTCTTCTGGGGTCCTTGTGTGAGACTGTAGGATGTTGACCAGGATAGGTAAAGGGGATGGAAGCGTGCTCGTCGCCATGGCCGTGGATTTGTCTTTTGGTGTCGCTTGCGTCGGAGTGAATGACATGGTCTCATGAGGTATGGAGCATATGTAGTCATTGAAATGACATTGTAGATCGCACTGTCAAGCACATTGTCTGACAGGTAGGTACACTCACAATGCTATGGACTTCCAAGTACCGTTGTTGTGTTTGTTGTACTGAGCCACGAAGTTGATGAGATCAAGTACATCTGAATCGACAAAATAATTTGCTTCGCAGCAAACATTGGCGCAGCGGTTGTCGCATAGCAGAATGAGCCTTTCATGTCTTCTGCAACCCCAATGACCTAGATGGCTTGATGCTTTAACGAATGAGCGTAGGTTCCTCGAGGACTGCTGACTGTCAACAGGACCGCGCGTTGTGAACCGGCGGCGCAACAGTATATTGTACCTGCGATTTCTCTTATTTGTAAGAGTATCCTTTTGTCTAGGTAGTTAATGTCGTAGAAGGTGTAAGTGGCTTATTTCGCTCTGCGTTATCGCAGTACTATATGATGAAGTAGATGACAACTAAGAGATAGAATCGCAAGGATAGTTGAGTGGACGTCGACGCCTGTGAGCATGCTAGAAGAAAACAAACAGGCGAGAGATTGATGACCCAGAATAACTTCGCACAGCTTCTGGCGTTTTGCGTGACGTCGCTGGAAGCCATGCTTAGGTCAGTCGTCCACTGCATTCATTGTTACTTGACAGGCCGTAGACGAAAGCCGCTCACAACTTTGTCAACGAAGTACCTTGTAGAGACCAGCAGGCTGTGTGAGATGAACAGGGTCGCAAATCCCAGAATCGAGTCCATATCGATAGCCGCGCTTGGGCTGAGTGACCACGACTGCGGATGGGGTGACGCTTAGTGAGGTTGAGACTGATACATCTTCTTCGTTACCTTCCGAAATTCCTGCACTGATCCTGTAGTTTTTTTCAGACTCATCGATGGTGTTGTTTGGAGGTGATGAGGTCCGGAGGGTCTACGAAGTCAGAAAGATACCTGGGTAACATCACCCGCGCAGGAGCAGACGAAAGCACAGATGCATTTCGAACGGAACAGTAGAGGCATTTCGTGCCGGCTCCCACCAAAAAGTAAAATTTCCCGCAAGCTGCGGCCGTCGCTGAACTTGGGGAGTTCAAGGGACTCTGAAACTCCCCGTAAAAAGCTCCTGATGTTAGATTGCCAGGGGCATCCAGGTGTACAGCGCGAAAACGTGACGCGCTCAATATTTGCCAAAATGTCTACGCGCAAGCGGTCTGTAATGCGTGCATCAGAGTCAGCTCCCTTAGCTCAACCTGCCGCATAGGCTCTTGTTCTTGTCATGACCAACGTGAGAGTCGTGATTGGTACCTCGGGAGGTGAAAAGATTGCGATTGGTGCTGGCAGGCATGTATCGAGCTCAACATTTCTTTTGCGCAGTGGCTTCGTCCCATATCACTGCGCCATCACGAGCGAAAGCGCCACGTTGTCACGTTTTGGGGTTAAGGTTGGCGCTAGCGTCGATGATCGTCGTCGGTACGGGGCTCCGCGATAGCGCAGTGACGTCGCCGGTGAAGACCTTTCCCCTTCTGCCACCAGGCAAGCGAAACGACAGACCACCTAACGCCATCGAGCGAGAACGCGGGATTTCAACTTTCGCATCATTTCCTGCCCAAAATTCGATCGCAACACGAAACGCAGAGCCGCCGATCTCAATCAGCCGGATCGACGCTGTGAATCTAACCGAACCGTATCTCCATGTATCGAGCACTAGCAACCTGCGGATTTCCGATCCGATCCTGGTTGCCATCACGGCACATCATGTCACATTGGCGAGTGTGCCAATATATCCTGCAGCATCCTGACGTCGGTCATATCGCCAGCACACTGTGGACTCTGCAAGTTCACAGCGAACGCCCTGTACAGATAGCATTAGGCTAATTGGCAGCCTGTTCTGGTCCCGATGGGGCCGCATAGGCATCCCAGGAGCCCCTGTGCACTATCAGCGTTCGGCGAGGGTGAGTACAAATTCTCCGTCGAATAAGAGAGCCGGCGCTATTCTACCTGCCGATTCTGCAAGCTACTGCATAGTGCACCAAGATATGATGTATCTATTACCGTCACCTAACCCCTGCTCTATGTACGGGAGATGTGTAGGCCGCATGAGACTGCTTCTAGAAATCTATCACATTTGTTCTCGGATTCATTGCAATGGTTCAGAAATTGCGACTGACACGTTTCGACAGCTCCACCCATCCACACTTCTTCGATGACAGGAGACCGCGCTCACCATTGTGGCTTGATCGAACCCAGTGAGTGTTAGCTGCTGAGAGCAAATGATAACGCCTCCTTTATCATCGCGATCACTACCTTGAATCTGGGGAATCGACCTTCAAATCAAGTGAATGACTGGCGCAACGTGTGGATACAAGTGGGTCACTCGAGCTGTGCTGAATACCAAAACCCCATGATCCTGACTCGCTTTCAGACGCTTGGCCGCGGAGCATCACGACTCAGGTGAGTAATGGGTAATCCGAAAACATCTGATTGGATTGCTGCGCTCTACCTTATCCTTGTGTGGATCTGTAGCGGCGTGGCGTTTTGGCTAAGTCTTCCCCAGTTCTAGCTGGCGATCATGATGACAACCGTACGAAAGTGGAAGCGCGACACACTTCTTCGGCGACTGTTGATGAAGATCATACTCAACGTGGACGGTGCCAACAGATACCATCCATGTAGGCTTTACCGGAGCGGTGGAGAGGCTTAGAAGCAGCTGCGCGGAGAAGAAGTGTATAAATCCTCTTCACCGTGTGTTCTACATCAGTTCTTCAGCCAGAGCCATCACTTGCTCCTTCTCCCCTTTCCTCCTCATACAGACAATCTTGTGTCACCGACATCATGAGGTTCACTCAATCAGTTACTCTGGCATTGCCAGCCCTCGCTGCCGCCTACCCCGGCATGATGGGCGCGAACTCCCGCCCAGAGATGGAGGAGTTCCTCCGTGGGGAGATCAAGCGTGAACAACTCGCGAACCGCGCCGCTGAACCCCAGCTGCTCAACCCAGTCGGAAACCTCTTGGGCTCGCTCGGCGGCGTTGTTGATGGGCTCCTGTCCTCAGTCGGACAAGCCATCGTCAAGAAGAGCAACCTGCGTCCTGAGCCTGGCTACGAGTTCAAGGCACCTGGTCCCAACGACTCTCGTGGTCCCTGTCCAGGTCTGAACTTGCTCGCCAATCATGGCTATCTCCCCCGCGATGGCTATGTCACCTATGGACAGGTTTTGGAGGCCACTGGGCGTGGTTTCAACATGGGTGTAGAGCTTGCCACAGTTCTAGCCACATTCGCTGTCTTGGGCAGTGGAGATCTGGATGGCTTGTCCTTCTATCTCGGCTCGGGAAAGAACGGAATCGGTGGCCTCAACAGGCACTCTGTTGTCGAAGCTGATGTTTCGCCCAACCGCGAAGGTATGTTTTCTGACTCTCCAAAGCGGAACCTGAACACTAACATTGAGACAGATTACTACATGGGATGCGGTGACAACCACCATCTCTCTTCTCGTCTGGTGAAGCAGATGGTCGGGTATGCTGCCCAAGACCCCAAGAAGGAGTTCTCCATGGATGTCATGGCGAAGCACTACGCTAAATCGGCCGGCTTCTCCAAGGACAACAACCCTTTCCTCTACTACTTCCCCTTCCCTCAGATCGTCTCGGTCGCCGCCTTCTCCTTCTACCCCCAGTTCTTCTCCAACGGTACCTACGGTGCGGGTGGTGTGCCCAACTACAAGAGCATCATGAGCATCATCGGTGCCGAGTATGATGAGAAGACCCAGGAGTTCAAGTACGTTCCCGAGCGCTGGCCCGAGAACTGGTACCGCCGTGACACCCAGTACGGCGCGGTCCAGGCCCTCTCCGACGGCTTCCTCCAGATCTACCCCCGCAACATCATCGTCCCTGGCGTCGCTCAGGTCGGTACTGGCAAGTTGACTGTCCAGACTGTGCTCTGCGATGTCTACCAGGGCCTCAACTCCATCACTCCGCTTGCGCTCGGCGGTACCGAGGAGAACGTCGCCAAGGGTGTCTCGTGGGCTCTTTCCGTCCTCGACCCCATTCTCAGCAAGACCGCGCTCGGATGCCCCGACAACGTTATCTCACCCAACTTCCTGTTCCCTCACTCTCAGCAGGAAGGTGGCCCTGTCAACCCCCCGAAGGTCCCGTCCGATGCTTGGACTGGCGACAACGTCTACAACAAGGTGTACTTTGGTGGAAATTCTGCTCCCACCAACCCTACGTGCAGCCACTCTAGCTAGATAGCTTTTAGCTGGAACGAGAAAAACTTGTAATAATTAGCGATATCCCAAATTTTGACGCCTCTCCTTTACAGAGCACCCTAGATACTAATAAAACGATCTTGATACAATTCTTTGTTGGCCTATTGCGTGTGAATGACCTTCGATTCGACTATACCATCACTATAGCAATTCGTTAAACACTTCACTTTCTTTCTAGCAATTAGCACACGGGCTCTTCACCACAAATCACTGAAGTAGTGCGATGATTCTCGTTACTTCAGATCGCGACTATTGTCAACGCTTTGTACATTCCATTCATTGCTGGAATTTGTGTTTGTGAAATCGTAAGTTTTCATAAAGGCGTTGTGAGCTGGCCGATATTTCCACCACCACTAGACATACAGGAAGTTGCAGTACCGGTCTACAAGT